ACCCCCCAGGGGGGATGGCCGCACCGCAATCCCTTCTCCTCCATTCTCCTCTCGGGATCTTGGGCACACACGCACACGCGCCCGGCGTGAGTTTTAAGCCACCAGGTCTGGGACGCGAACCACGGTTGACTACGTGGGAGTCCAGTGACATAGCCATTACGCTAACTGCTGGTTCCCTTGGAGAGGTTCTTGCTGTGGCGCGCGTGTGCTCGCCAGACAGACAGAGACAGAGAGACAGAAACCGAGAAGTAACCCCCCAGTGGGGATGGCCACACCACAATCCTTTCTCCTCCATTCTCCTCTCGGGGTCCTGGGCACGCACGCACACACGCCCGGCATGAGTTTAAGCTACCGAGTACGGGACTTGAACCACAGTTGACTACGTGGGAGTCCAGCGACATAGCTATTATGCCAACTGCTGGTCCATCTCCTCTTGGGATTTTGGGCACGCACACACACACACTCGGCATGATTTTCAAGTGGTTGGGTCTAGGACTTGAACCGTGGCTGGCCATGGGAGAGTCCAGCATTTTAACCCCCATACCACTTGCTGGCATCTTATGCAGCATTTGGAGAATCGGTCAAAGCACCAGTGGATCATATCCTATCCTGCTGGGCTTCTGGCCAGAGGACAAGGCGCTCTCAGGGACATCGGAGGCACATGGTTCAGGAGCATTGCGGTGAGGACAGAGTGTCCCTCGAGCAGGAGCCACCAAGAGAAACACAGCTCTCCTGCCTTTGGGCGCCCGGAACTGCCCTTGGTCTGGCTCTCCTCCCAGTCCTGCCCACGTGGGTTGCGTGGTTCACCCACCCTCCCTCCTCCCCGCCACTGTCTTCTCTCTTCCTTCCGCTGCTTCCTGAGACTGGGGGAGCCTTGATCCCCAGGGATGGGCTTTAGACAACTGTTCTCCCTGTTCTGCTAGGCTCAGCCCTGGAAAGTGCAGCACACATTTCCTTTTAAAAGATTTTATTGCGGGGTTGGAGGGAGCAGGTGGCATAGTGGTTAAGGCGTTGGACTCCCACACAGTTGACGGCAGTTCGAATCCTGGACCCAGCGGCTTGAAACTTACGCTTAGGCACGTGTGTATGTGTGTGTGTGTGTGTGTGTGTGCCCAAAATCCCAAGAAGAGAATGGAGGAGAAGGGATTGTGGTGTGGCCATCCCCCCTGGGGGGTGATTTCTAAATTTCTATCTCTCTCTGTCTCTCCAATGAGCACACATGCCCTATAGCAGCACTTGGATCTCATATGACCAACTACACAGCTTGGGTCCCAGACCCAGTAGCTTGAAAAACACACCAGACACATGAGCATGTGCACCCAGAATCCTGAGAGAACAGGGAGGAGGAGTCTGGCTATCCTCCTAGGGGGTGCTTCTCACTTTCTCTCTCTCTCTCCAGTGAGCACACTCACCCCGTAGCAAATTTTTAAAAGTAAAAATATTTTGGGACCAGCAGTTGGCGTAATGGCTATGTCGCCGGACTCCCATGTAGTCAACCGCAGTTCAAGTCCTGGACCCGGTGGTTTTTATCTCTTCTCAGGAAGGCCAGTGGAAGACTAGCCAGAATTCGGTTTGGGTTTTGGAATGGAGGTGGACACCTCTCTCTGTCTTTCCAACAGCCTGGCACGGGGCAGCTGCATTCCGGACTGTGAACCGGGCACCTACTTTGACTCGGAGCTGATCCGATGCGGGGAATGCCATCACACCTGCCGGACCTGCGTGGGTGAGTTAGGTCGCCTGCAGAGGCCTCCGTTCCATGAGGCCCATGGGGTTGCCAAGTAAACAGGCCAGCTGTGGAGTTTTTTTGTTTGTTTGGTTTTTTTAGATTTTTTTTTTTTTTGGAGAGGTTTTTGCTATAGGGCGCATGCGCTCACCAGACAGACAGAGAGAGACAGAGAGACAGAAAGCGAGAAATCACCCCCCCAGGGGGGATGGTCACGCTGTAATCCCTTCTCCTCCATTCTCCTCTCGGGATCTTGGGCACACACGCACACATGCCCAGCATGAGTTTAAGCCACCGGGTCTGGGACGCGAACTGCGGTCAACTACGTGGGAGTCCAGTGACATAGCCGTTACGCTAACTGCTAGTCCCCCTATTTTAGATATTTTTGCTATAGGGCATGTGCGCTTGCCATAGACACAGGCAGAGGCAGAATGCAAGAAATCATCCTCCAGGGCGATTGGACAGGCCGCAATCCCTTCTCCTCCATTCTTCTCTCGGGATTTTGGGTACACACGCACACGCGCCCGGTGTGAGTTTAAGCACCGAGTCCTGGACACGAACCACGGTCAGCCATGTGAGAGTTCAGCGATATAGCCATTATGCCATCTGCTGGTCCCGGCCAACTGTCTTGAAAGCGTGTAAGCTCTGGGACTTCACAGGCTTCCGTGTGCATGACAGCATTAAAACACAAAGGTGAGGGCCAGCAGGTGGGATGGAGGTTAAGACACTAGGTTCTCACACAGCCGACAGTGGTTCGAGTCCCAGACCTGGTGGCTTGAAAATCACACCAGGTGTGTGTAAGTGTGTGGCTAAAACTCTAGGAGGAGAATGGAGGAGAAGGGATTGTGGTGCAACCATCTAACCTGGGGTTGATTTCTCACTTTCCCCCTCACTGTCTGTGTGTGTGTGTGTCTCTCTCTCTCTGGAGAGATACGCCCGAAGGCATAAACCTCTAAAAAAAAAAGGTGGCTGGGACCAGCAGTTAGCATAATGGCTATGTTGTTGAACTCCCATGTAGTCGACCACAGTTCGAGTCCCGGACCCGGTTGCTTAAACTCACGCCGGGCGCGTGTGCGTGCGTGCTTAAGATCCCGAGAGGAGAATGGAGGAGAAGGGATTGCGGCATGGCCATCCCCCCTGGGGAGGGGTGATTTCTCGCTTTCTGTCTCTCTGTCTCTCTCTGTCTTTCTGGCGAGCGCACGTGCCCTATAGCAAAAACCTCTCAAAAGAAAAAAGAAAAAGAAATTTTAAAAAACATGGTCAATCTTATGCTATATTGAAGAGGACGTGGATCGTGGTGCCCAGTGCATTTGGTGGGTGACCGGATGAGGACAAGCCCCATCCAGATCCCGTCCAGGTCCCCAGCACATCCTGGCACAGACACTGTGATCCCACGCGGGGTGCCCATCTGTCAGGGTTACTGCAGCAGGTCCAAGTTGTGCCTGCCCGACTTCTGCACTGGGATTGGGCATGGGTCAACAGCTGGTAGCCGTGAGGTACAAGCACCTGTTACACGTGTTCCCGGGGCGAGGGGCGATGTCCCAGGCAGCAAATTAAAACACCATGACTGGGGCCGGCAGTGGCGTAGTGGTTAAGGTGCTAGACTCCCACATGACCAACCACAGTTCGAGTCCTGGACCTGGGGGACACGATCTAGCAGGCAAGACTCAAGGAATAGAGAGCGGGAGGCACTGCACACCCCCTGAGGCCGTCTGTGCCCTCGGCCCTCCTCGTGGGCCCTCAGCCCTCCCTGCCCAAGCAGATGCTCCCGGGAGATAGGTGACAGGAGGAGTGGGTGGGCCACAGAAGACAGGAGCCTCCCATCTGGAACCACACAAACCACACAGAGCCCCGAGCATGTAGGGGACAGCACATGGGGAGGACCTCTCCATTCTGCGTCCCTGCAGAGGTCCATGAGCCCAAAGGCGCTCTTCTGCCTCTGGTTCAGAAGCCTGTGGTCTCCTCGGCTTCACTTTCCCGATTGTCCACGGAGGAGCTTAACCTGGATAACCCCCAGTTATCCCCTAGGCTAAACGCTATGGTTTGAGCTATGGAGCCAGCCCAGTCTGCATGCCTGGGGGTTCCCCAGGGATCTGGAACCTTCGCAAAGGGATCTTCCTTTCTCGTGGCAGAGAATCTGCGTCTTAGAGTTGTTGCACGAGGCCGGCTGGTGGCATGGTTAACGGGCTAGATCCCACATGGCCAATGCATGCTTAGAGGCCTGGACCCAGCAGCTTGAAAATCATGCCAGGTGCCTGTGTATGTGTGTCCAGAATACCAAGAGGAGAGGGGCCAGCAGGTGGCGTGGTGGTTACGGGCACTGGACTCCTACATGGCTGACCGTGGTTCAAGTCCCGGACCTGGTGGCTTGCTTTCTCACTTTCCCTATCTCTCTCTCACTTTGTCCCTCTCTGTTCAAAATAAAATAAAATAAATAAATAAATAAACAAAGTTAAATAAAATAATTCTTTTTTTAAAAAACTGTTAAAAAAGAAAGACATGTTACTAAAATGATGTTCCCATTCATCCCTTTGATTTTTTTTAAATTAATATATTTATTGCTCTTTGCTAGAGGGGACATGTGCTTGCTGGAGAGAGACAGAGACAAAGAGAGAGAGGGAAAAGGAGAAATCCCCCCCCCCGGGGGGATGGCCACATTATGATTCATTGTCTTCCATTCTCTGGGACACACACATGTCCCTGGCATGATTTTCAAGCCACCACGTCTGGGACTTGAACTGCAATCAGCAGTGTGAGAGTCCAGCATTTTAACCATTATGGCACCTGCTAGCCCCAGTAACATATCTTATTTAATCTAATATATTTTAAATATTGTCGTTTCCAGGCCAGGAGTTGGTGTGGAGGTTAAGGCAGTTGGATCCCACATGACCAACTTATGCAGTTCAAGTCCCAGACCCGGGAGTTTGAAAAACATGCCTGGCCCATGTGCCTGCATCCCCAAAATTCTGAGAAGAGAATGGAAGAGAAAGGCTTGTGGCATGGCCATCCCCCTTCCCCCTGGGGAGTGTTTTCTCACTTTCTCCCCTCTGTCTCCAGTGAGTGCACATGCCCTATAGCAAGTTAAAATATATATTTAAATATATAGCATCATTTCCACATGTCTCAATATCAAAATCAAATGAGCTATGTTATATTCTCTTTTTTTAGCTTTTTCTTTCTTTTTTTTTTTTACTGTAGGGCATGTGTGCTTGCCAGAGAGACAGAGAGAGACAAATAGGAATAAATCACCCCCCAGAGGGGATGGCCATGCCACAATCCCTTCTCCTCCATTCTCCTCTCGGGATTTTGGGCATGCACACACATGCACCTGGCATGAGTTTCAAGCTATCGGGTCCAGGACTCGAACCACGGTCGACGATGTGAGCGTTCAGCGCCTCAATCACTATGCTACATTCTTTTCTATGAAATCCTGACTATGAAATCCAGGATGTGTGTATTTCATGCTCCCAACCCGTCTCAGTTCATCCCAGCCCCGTCCCGGGTGCTCGAAGCCACAGCTTCCGGCAGCCATAACTGCTCTGGCCCCAGGAGAGGGGAAGCAGCCATTCAGAGAGGACAGAAGTGTTTGGAATCAGGGCACGGATGGTGGAGTGTGTGTGCACCCCACGGTCAGCCCACACCACTGATGTCCCCATCTGTGACATGGGGGTGGCCAGGGTGAGGATGGCCCAGCCCTGCGGGGCCCCTGGGGACTGCTCAGTGTGGCATGGCTGCAAGAGAGGGGAGGCGTCTGATCTCACGGGCCCTGGGGCAGCCCTGGGGTGTGGCACATCCGCGGGCAGCTCTCTGACCCCTGCTTCCGTCCCTGCACCCCTCAGGGCCGAGTAGGGAAGAATGTATCCACTGCGCGAAAAACTTCCACTTCCAAGACTGGAAATGCGTGCCCGCCTGTGGCGAGGGCTTCTACCCAGAGGAGATGCCCGGTTTGCCCCACAAGGTGTGTCGAAGGTAAGCGCCTCCCTCCAGTGCAGACTTGCGAGTGGGGTCGTCGCAGGCAGCTGAGTCTGGCGAAGGGCCGCCTTCCGGGGACCCAGTGGGTGGGAGTGCCAGAGCTCCCATTGCACTCCGGAGCAGCAGACAGACGGGCATCCAGGGATTAGAGAGCCATCGGAACCTCACAGCTTTGCTCATCTGATCGATGTTTGTTGAGTGCCTACTGGTGAGTATGACCCGGGAAACAGAGCAAGCTGCTGGCTGGAAGTTCACAGTGGGAAGGAGACCCCGCAGGAGGGCCCCCCGGGCCTGACTCAAATCATCCCCAGAATAGACCCCGCAGAAGAGCCCCCCGGGCCTGACTCAAATCATCCCCAGAGTACTCTGGAAATGGAACTGTGAGGGGGGCTGGCTTTCCTTCTTTCTTTTTTTTTTTTAATTTTTAATTGAGGTTTTTGCTATAGGGCGCGTGCGCTTGCCAGACAGACAGACAGAAACAGAGAGAGACAGAGAGACAGAAAGTGAGAAATCACCCCCCAGGGGGGATGGCCACGCTGCAATCCCTTCTCCTCCGTTCTCCTCTCGGGATCTTGGGCATGCATGCACACGCGCCCGGCGTGAGTTTAAGCCACCAGGTCCGGGACGCGAACCGCGGTCGACTACATGGGAGTCCAGCGACATAGCCATTCTGCCAACTGCTGGCCCCCCCTTCTTTCATTTTCTTTCTTTCTTTCTTTCTTTTTTGTTAAATTTTTGCTATAGATTATGTGTGCTTGATGGAGAGAGACAGAGAAAGGGAGAAAGAGGAGTTAGAGAACTCCCCCCTCTCGGGGGGGAAGGCCACACCACAGTCCGTTTGCCTCCATTCTCCTCGTGGGATTTTGGACATGTATGTACCTAGCATATTTTTCTTTTTTGTTTTAAAGAGAGATTTTTGCACTCACTGGAGAGACAGAGAGAGACAGAAAGTGAGAAATCACCACCCAGGGCTATAGCCACGCCGCAATCCCTTCTCCTCCATGCTCCTCTTGGGACTTTGGGCATGCACGCACATGCGCCCGGCATGAGTTTTAGGCTGCCAGGTCTGGGAATTGAACTGTAGTCAACTGCGTGGGAGTCCAACCATGTAACCATGACACCATGTGCTGGTCCCTAAGGATTCATTTTATTTAATTTTATTTATTATCATTATTATTGTTTTTGGTAGTGCCTGAGGGAGACAGAGACAGTGAAAAGGAATGTGAGAAATCACCCCCCAGGGGGGATGGCCACACCAAAATCCCTTCTCCTCCATTCTCCTCTTGGGATCTTGGCTGCGTGCCCAGAGTGATTTTCAAGCTTCCAAATCCTGGATTCAAACCACTGTCCCCCACGTGGAAGTCCAGCTACATAACTGCTACATCTGCTGGCTTCTTTAATAAACTTTTTGGAGAGGTTTTTACAATAGGGCAAATGCGCTCGCCACAAAGATAGAGACAGAGAGACAGAAAGCGAGAAATCACCTCCCTCCCTGGGGGGGATAGCTACACCAAAATCCCTTCCCCTTCATTCTCCTCTCTGGATCTTGGGCATACACGCACACAGGCCCAGCGTGAGTTTATGCCACCGGGTCCAGGACTCGGACTGCAGTCAACTACGTGGGAGTCCAGTGACATAGCCATTACGCCAACTGCTGGTCCCATGTTTGGGTACTGTTTGAACCTGCTACTTAGTGACCATTTTGTTACATTGTGATAGAAAACCAGGGCCAGCAAGTGGTGTAGTGGTTAAGGCACTGGACTCCCATATGGTTGACCGCGGTTCGAGTCCTGGACCTGGCAGTTTAAAATTCACTCCAGACCCGTGTGCCCAAAATCCTGATAGGAGAATGGAGGAGAAGGAATTGAAGCATGGCCATTCCCCTGGAGGGTGATTTCTCACTTCTATCTATCTATCTCTGTTTGTCTCTCTGGGGAGCACACACGCCCGATAGCAAAAGATCTCTCTCTTGGGCTAGCAGGTGGTGTGGTGGTTGAAAGTGCTGGACTCCCACATGGCAGACCAAGGTTCAAGTCCCAGACCTGGTGGCTTGGCTTTTCACTTTCCCTCTCGCTCTCTCTGTCCCTCTCCGATCAAATTAAAATAAATAAATAAATGAAGTTAAATCATTCTTTAAAATATATATATATATCTCAGGACCAACAGTTGGCATAATGGCTACATCACTGGACTCCCATGTAGCTGACCACAGTTTGAGTCCCAGACCCAGTGGATTAAACTCATGCCGGGCGCGTGTGCGTGTGTGCCCAAGATCCTGAGAGGAGAATGGAGGAGAAGGGATTGCAGCGTGGCCATCCCCCCTGGGGGTGATTTCTCGCTTTCTGTCTCTCTGTCTCTGTCTGGCTGGCGAGTGCACGCGCCCTATAGTCAAAACCTCTCCAAAAAAAGGAGGACCAAAGTCAAAGGGGGCTGGGGTGTAGACAGGGGCTCTGGCAAGGGGGCCCAGAACGGCCAGATATCTCCCCAAGCCTCAGCAGGAACCGGCATCTTCCCACAGGTGCGATGAGAACTGTCTAAGCTGCGAAGGCTCCAGTCGGAATTGCAGCAGGTGTAAGACGGGCTTCACGCAGCTGGGGACGTCCTGCATCACCAACCACACGTGTAGCAACGGTGAGCACCAGGGGTGGCCCCACAAGGCATGTTGCCTCCGTTGCCTTGTGGCTATGCATGGTCCTGCAGCTCAGCCTGCAGATCTCGGGTCACAGAAGGCAAGGCAAGGGCCGGCAGGTGGCGTGGTAGATAAGGCGCTGGACTCCCACATGGTCAACCGCGGTTTGAGTCCCAGACCCTGCGGCTTGAAACTCACACGAGGCACGTGTGCGTGTGCATGCGCGTGCATGCCCAAGTTCCCGAGAGGAGAATGGAGAAGAGATTGCTGTGTGACTATCCCCACTGGGGGGGTGATTTCTCACTTTCTCTCTCTCTGTCTCTCTGGCAAGCTAAAGTGCCCTATAGCAAAAACCTCTCCCAAAAAAAAGGAAGAAAAACATGCTGGGTGCATGTGTGTGCAAGCCCCAAAACCCCAGAGGACAGCAGAGGAGAAGGGACTTCAGTGTGGCCATCTAACCCTGGGTGGTGATTTCTCACTCTCCCTCTCTCCAGCAAGTGCATGCGCCCTATAACAGAATCTAAAATATAAATAAGGACCTCGTTCTTGTCCTGTTCCCTCTGTCAAAGCCACAAGCCCCAAGCGGCCTGAGAGTGGTGATTTCCCTTAAGCGTAATAAGGCCTGGTGGGGTTGGGGGTCGTCAGCCTCAGAACTGAGAGGACAGAGCCCAGCGATGGGGCCACCCAGCTGGAATCCCAGCTGCCCATAGGGAGACCCAGTATTTGTGCTTCAGGAAAGCCCTGGTTCCAGGGGGGTGGGAGAACACGGACAGCATAGCCAGACAGAAACTCTGAAAGGCTCCCAGGTTAGTGCCCAGTTTGGGGATTCTGGGCAAGAGGGATGGTGGACGTGAGGTCTGGTGCAGGGGCCATTAGCAGGTGAGCTGAGGCAGAGAATGAGAGCCACCCGCTCCACAGTGTCCGAGGGTCAGGGCCCCTGCTGAGACCCGGCAGAGCCAAAGCCAGTGAGAGCCTGGGGACACCCTAGACCATGAGGTGGCCTGTCTTGTTGCTTTTTTCTTTTGGTTTGCAGAAGCATGTCCCTTCAGAGGCCAGGAGGTTTCCTTTATAGGAAGTCACCTGCCCAGATGATGTGCCCAACCCATGGAAGTGAGGCTACAGCCCCGCTCTGCCTTTTCGGGGTGTCCCCAGGCAGCAGCTTCCCTTCCTGCCCCCTCTAACCCTGCGTGTCTGCCCCACCCCGAGTCGGTCTCCTGAGCCTCCCACCAGCACTCTCCCTGACCCTATCTGTCCCCTCCGTATCTTCCATGTCACTTAGACTCAGTGAGCGCCCCTGTACAGAGGTGTCACCTCCGCCATGCCAGGCTCCTGTAGACAAGCACTGGGCAGGAAGGGGATAGAGGGCTGTCCCCTGGGATGTCCTGGAATGATTGAAGCCATTTTAAAGGCCCCGGAGTCTGACCTCTCCCTCCTCTCTCTATCGCGGGGCCCCAGCTGACGAGACCTTCTGCGAGATGGTCAAATCCAACCGGCTCTGCGAACGGAAGCTCTTCATCCAGTTCTGCTGTCGCACGTGCCTCATGGCCGGGTAGGGGTACCAGCGGCCCGCGAGGACGGGGCACCTCCTATCCGTCCATCCATCCGTCCACCTTCCTCCAGACTGTCGGCCAGTGCTGGCCCCGGGCGGTGCCCTGCACCTGACAGCGACACCTCTCAAGAACAAGGCCCTGCTGCAGCATCTTGGGGCACCCAGACCCGGCAGGGGTGACCCTGAAGACGGCGTTCCTCCCACGGCCATGCCCTCTCGCACTCTGCTTGCTGGCTACCAGTCTTCTAGCAAAGGCCAGATGGGAGCAAAAGAAATTCCAGAAATCCACAGCGGCCGCTTGGGAGCTGCTTCTGGGACCCTCCATTTCTGACATCTTCGAGACCAAAGCAGAGAAGAAAGCCACTTGGCTAATACACCACCCCTCCCCGGGCTTCTGCGTGCGGCTTCGTAGCAAACCTCAGCTGGCCCTCTGCAGCACCCTGGCCA